CGGTGGGGTGAGAGGGAGGGAGGCCACGCCGGGGCCGCTGCCTTGGCTGTGGGGCAGCTTGACAGAGCGGTGAGGCCGACATCGGGTCTTCTTGTCCCACTGGTGTGTGGGACCGGTGTGTGTCCCCTCATGCACTCCTGGTGTGCTTTTCCTCCCAAGCTGCTGTCGGGGCCTTGCAGGTGTCTGCCGCCAGCCCGGGCACCCAGCCTGGGGCTCCAGCGGGGGCCTCCTTCAGGCTTGGGGGCCTCCTTCAGGCTTGGGGACCTCCAGCTCCTGCTCCTCTTCAGCTCCCTCCTGGCAAAAGGCTCTTAGGGAGATGCCTTACGTGGGGCCAGCAGGGCACCTGATTTCTCGCCCTGAGACCCGCTCTGCCACTCCTCCGGGTATTTTACATCTGTATCTCTTTAATAAAGATCATTCCTCCAAATATTTAACGTCTGCATTTCTTCAATAAAGGTCTGACAGTTTATTTCAAAGCTGTCATCGTTGCTTGGCGTCAGTGGCACCGGTGCTGCTCTTAGCTGGAGGACCAAATGTGAGTCCCCAAGATGCAGGACCTGGCTGAGCAGCCATGGTTTCTACAGTCAATGGTGGAGAGAGGTACTGGCATGAGTAGGTGGGCGCATTAGGGCTGCCATGTTCTTGGCTGCTGGCTTGAGTGAGTTCGGCTGAACTCTTGAACCTTTCTTGCCTTACAGTCCTTGCCCTAAAAATGGGTGTAATGTTTGTGTGGTGGCCAGCTGACTTTGGTGGAAGCTCTGAAAGTGCTGCGGGGGTAGCCAAAGCCAACCCCCTGGCCCGTGGAGTGTGACGAGTCCTGACACGGCCTAGTGGCCGCTCATCCCACGCCGCCTTGCCTTTATCAGCTCTCTTGCTGCTTGTGCTCTTTTCCTGGCCTGTCCTTTCACCAGCAGAAATGCGGAAAAACCAGTTCTGTGGTTAATTGCTGCACTTCCCTCCACGCCCATGGGGCAGGTCTTCTCCTCCTCACTCACAGTCTGGGCGCACTTGAGCCTCCAGCCTCTTCGTCCCTGCCTGTGCTCAGCTTCGCCGGCTCAGGTGTGCCGTCAGGCCTCTACGCTCTTTCCGTTAACCTTACAACCTTACTGCTTCTTCTGCCTTCTTTTTCCTCCCTCTGCAAGAGCTTCTGGCTCTCTGGTGGCTCCTTCTCCCTTGGGCCACCAGGCAGGTTGGCCCGCAGGTGCAGAAGGCGCAGGCAGCCGCCCTCCTGACTCTGCCCTGCCCAGAGGGATAGCATTTGGTCATGATGGCTGGAGGCAACGAGAGGAGAATGAAGGCCCTGAAGGAGGTGTGGAGAAGAGCAGAAAACTCTTTGTGTGCAGACTGCGGGAAGCCAGGTGAGTCCCCAAGGGCTGCTGGAGGAAGAGGGAGCAGGGGTTGGTCTCTAAGCAGCAGTTTGGTGCCGTCTATCTGACTGTGCAGGAGCCTGGGACAGAGAGGGAGAAGAGGCATCGCTCTGCCTGGATATTCGCTTCCTCACCCTGGAGGTGACTTGGCAAGGGAGGAGGAAGGAGATGCTGCCACAGCACCCGTGGGAAGAAGGACGGGGACACGGTAGTGCCAGATGAGCAGGGCCTGTGTAGCTGCAGTACTGTGGGCTGTAGTCAGATCTCAAATACAAATCAAGGTCATGCCCAGTCAGGACCTGACAGGAAAGCTCCCAGTGAAATCCTAACTGCTCCAGAAAGAAGGCATGATTCAGGAGGGTATTGTCTCCTCCATGACTCAGCTATGAACCTGCCACAGGCGTCTTGGAGGTTTACTGAAGGGCTTGCCCTCTCAAAAGGGTATCCAGTTTGAGATCCTACAGGTGCTGCTAAAAACACCCATCATACTCCTCCCAAAAGGGGCACGTGGAGTGTACCACCCAAGCCAAATTAAGACTGAGCTAATTAGTATCATTTCACCTTCTTAAATTCTCCCTGGAGAATTAAATTCTCCCTGGAGAATTTTGGATTCAAGGCCGCTTTCCGCTTTCAGCACTAAATACTGTTGGGTGTTCACTGTGTTGCACTAAAAAGCTCCTGGAGTCTTTTCCCAGGGGTGGTTTCAGTTTCATCTTGGGTGACCCTTTATGCAAAGGGAGTTCACAGAGCACTTTGGAGTTTTTCAAGGTTCAGGTCAATAGAGATTCAGATAAAGCGGTTGAAGTAGGGGGAATGAGGGACTAACAGCTTTGCTTTTTCCTGCCTGTACCTTGGGTGTTAATTAATTAGCTCAGATGGAACTGTGGTCACCCAGCACAATGGAACTGTGGTCACCCAGCGCGATGAAACTGTGGTCACCCAGCGCTCTGTTTCTCTGGACTGTGTTCTCAGTTGAGGCATATCTTTTGGGGGAATTTACCACTTCTAGTCATACCCCTTTTTATACCCTCAGATCCTGACTGGGCATCCTCTACTTTGGGTGTCTTTATATGCCTCAGCTGCTCAGGAATTCATCGCAACATCCCTAGCATCAGCAAAGTCAAATCCCTGAAGATGGACCACTGGGACGATGCTCAGGTGCAGGTGAGACCTTTATCCCCACTCGTGTGTCAGGTGGGTTGGGTCTAGGCCGTACTTTAACATGTCCTGGAAAAATCAACCCTTTGGTCTCACAGAATTGAGATTTAATCTGATACCTACTCCCTTTGCTACTCATGCCCTGGATACTTAAGTGAGGATAACTCCCTATAATCCACTGGGAGAGGGATGAAGCACTTGCCTTATGTGTCTCCCCATGTCCTTTTACTTTATGGCAAAGGCAGAGCTCTTGCAATTGTATCTTGCCAAGGCTCAGGGTTTTTGTCTCTCCAGATGACTCATTTCCCACTTGCCAGCACCATCCAGCCTCAATGTCTCCTCTTGGTTTCAGCAGTCCAAGGGGAAAATCTTGGGCAATTCCATGCTCCGAGAAGAGTTTCCAGATAAAATGTGATCTCTGGAGAAAAATGGCATTCGTGGGAACTTGTCTTCTCCCTGTTTATACCCCCCTCAACCCATTAATCTTTAGGGGACTGAAAAAATTTTCTGGGGATCCAAAGAAAATAATCTGTATCTTGCTGCTTTTTGGAGATGAGCAAAGAGTTTTGGAATGTCCCCCAGACGGCATTGCAGAGCTGTCATTGAACTTGGGCTCCCCGGAGATGTGAGGCATGGCAGCAAATCCACTGAATGTGTGTGCACCCAGCCCCACGGAAGTGACATTGATGGCATTCTGTTGATTCGGGTGCAACCAATGTAACTCCTGAGAGTGGACAAGACCTTTGAGATCCACCTTTCTGTAGGCAGACTTTGCTGGGATGTTGAAATGGACAGGAAGGAGAATGCTCCAGCAGAGCTCAGTGTGCATCTAGCCCTGTAGTGTCAGGAAAGAAAAAGCCCAACGTGAGTCTGCACCAAAGGGAAGGCACTAACTCTCTGTCTAACTCCGCAGTTTCTGGCCAAGCATGGGAATGCTGTGACCAAAGCCACATACGAAGCTCACATCCCTATTTACTATTACCAGCCAACCTACAAGGACTGCCAGTAAGTTGCTGCATACAGAAGAAAAGGGGGAAGGTCTGTTCTGGGTTCCTCTAGTTTGCTTCTGAGCTACCTGTCACCTCTCTCCCCAGAGTGCTGAGAGAACAGTGGATACGGGCCAAATATGAACGCAAAGAGTTCACTGAGCCAGGAAAACAGCTGCCATATTCTGATGGTAAGAGCAGAGCACAGCATCAAAATATCCTGCCTGTTGCCTTTGCTGGAAGCTTCTGAACACCATGAGGAGAAAGCTCATAGTGTCAGTGTGGCAAATCCCCACAGGTACTCCTGAGAACCCATCTGGTACTTACAGGGCATTGTTTTGGAGGAGTTTAAATTGTGGGCAGTGCAGGTTAGCACTGCCACGGGTTGCTTCCAAGCTTGGTATTACCAGCTGGCATTTTTCAAAGGCATTTGTGCTGTCCTGGTGGAGCCAGACCTCTGCAGTAAGGAATTTCTGTCCTGCTACGTGCTACACCCTCCAACAACAGCAATTGTCTTTGAAATGTCACTGCCAGTGCTGTGACACAAGGCGCTGGAGCCCAAGGGCCTGAAGAGTCAAGTGGGAAGAGTTTTGGTCCCACGCCAGGGTCTGCGTGGGCTAGGACTCTGGTGTTCACCAGAGAAACAGCTCTCACACTGTCAGGCAGTAGTAGGAGTGGACTAGGACGTGGGAAGCATTTGGGAATGTCTTCTGGTGACTGTTTATCTGGGCTGCAAACCCAGGAACATCACCATCTTCAGTTGTAAGTCAGAGGTGAGACCTCTACTTCTCAGGTGTTTGTTCTCAGCAATAGTCCATCATGTGCTTTATCCCAGAGGTGTGGCTGGGACCCCAGGCTGCATGCAGCTATCTGATGCCTGCTGTGCCTGTGGGGGAATGCTCTTAAAAGTGGCCTTTCTGCTCCTAGGGGTGAAGGAAGGCATCCTCTGGAAGCGAGGTCGAGACAACGGGCAGTTCCTACCCCGCAAGTTCCTCTTGTCTGAGAGAGAGGGATGTCTGAAGTATTTTACCAAGCAGGATGTGAGTATGGTGGTCAACACCCACCTCAGTGCATACTCCACCCAGGGCAGCAGGGTCACAGAGACATTTCTATTTCCTACGCATGTTTCTGAGGTTGCCTTGCTCATCCCAGGCCCGGGGATGATACAGAAACATGTCACCAAGGAGAGGGGTCCGCTTCCTACTGTCAGGGTGACGTTTTCCCCATGTCCTCCCTTTGCACTTCCCTACATCCTTCCCTCACTGCTGATAAAAGGGCTGATCTTTCACTTCACCCCTATCCCTTTGCCTGGCTGTTTAATCCTGCACCATCCCTGGAAACAGCCTCACCTCACTGTGAGCCAAGTTGGCAAAACCCTGTTGTTTGGGGTTTTTTGAGGAGGACTACTCATTGCCCTGAAATGAATGGGGCAAGTGCTAGTATACTGTTGCAAGGGAGGGAATGGCTTAGGGTGGTTTCCCTTTTGGGGTCAGTTAGCCTTTAGACTGGCTCAGCTGTAAAGTCAGATGCACTCTTAGCATCTCACTGGCAGTTCCATAGTAGGCACAGCTCAAATCTACATTGGAAGGGCTGGGCCACTGTTTGGGCTTGAGCACACCACACAATGAAGGGAGTGTGTGCTACAACAGTTTGGTTGGGAAGGGGCAGTTATTACATTTTAACACCCTCTGACCCTGCCTTACTCCATTAGGTCAGCTCAGGTCTCTTTCCCACTAGAATTGCTCATGCATGACCAAGGCCATTCTGTTCTCAGGCCAAAGAACCCAAAATCAATGTTAAAATAGATGTCATCAATGCTACGTTCCAGCCAGTGAAGATTGGGAACCCCAATGGCCTGCAGATCACCTATCTCAAAGACAACAAAACACGGAATATATTTGTCTACCATGAAAGTGGAAAGGTATCTTGTTTCAGCATCAAACACTGCAAAGCAATTGAGATGGTTTGAAAAGCTTCTGGTATTGAATAGTCTGAAGCGTGGGTAGGACGGGGTGTGCATGTGTGAGTTGCTGTAGGTAACAGGGTGGGGGGTTCTGGCTCTGTGTTTGTGTGCCTGTGAGAGAGTTTTGCTTGCAGGGAGCAGGGCAGGAGCACTGGCTGAGTCAGTTTGTGTGGGAGGAGCTGCTGTAGAAGATGTGCAGATGCACTGCCTGTGCATGCGGGGAATGGGGCAGCCGTGCTGGCTGTGTGTGTGTGAAGGAGATGCTGTAGGTGCTGGGGAGGGAGAGCTGGCTGTGTTTGTAGTTAGCATAGGGTTGGGTGCAGCTGGGTAAATTTAGATGGCTCACTGTTGCTCTGGCTAAGCTTTCTGTCCTGTCCTTTTCCATTCTCAGGAGGTAGTGGACTGGTTCAATGCCATTCGCTCTGTGCAGTTCCATTATCTGAAGGTAGCATTTCCCATTGCCAGTGATAATGAGGTAAGGCAGCACTAGAGCGCAGTGCTGAGTCTCCCGCTGGTACTCAGTTATGTGATAAAAGAGCCCATTAGTTACTATTAGATCCCCAGTACAGAAGTGGAAGTTGCAGTGTTTAGATAGAGGGATGAGAAAGTGTGCATAAAAGGGCCTGAAATGGCCAGAGAACCTCTCTTTGCTGTTTCTGGGCACTTTGGAGACAAAAGTGACTCCTGGCAAGGCAGTTCTGCAAACGTGAATTTAAAAAGTGGCTGAATTTGGGGGAATAGAAGGAAGGGTGGGGGGTGAAAACGAATAGCAAAGGAACTAAGTCTAAGTAAAAGTTACTCTTGCCTTCTTGTCAGATTAAAAATCGACTGACAAGAAACTTCCTGAAGGAGGGATACATGGAGAAGACTGGTCCCAAGGTGAGCTGCTGTGGGAGAAAAAAAAATCTATCAGGGACCTGCCAGAGAGCCACTGACCTTCCCTACTTCAATGTTTTTCTCCTGCTGTTTCCCCATTCCCCCCTGACTCTTTAGACACCCGTGGGAACAGTGTGTGTGCACCAAGGGAGGGGAGAATAAAAGGAAGGGGAAGGACACGTGTGAAAGTAGATGAAGTCCCCGTTTTCTCCCAGAACAACAGATCTCTCTGCATGTGTCTGTGTGTGCGTGACCGTACAGGTATTTAGCGTCTAGATTTCTCCTGTCTCAACTCTGGGGTCCTTCACAGAAGTCCAAGAGTTGGGGACAGCAGTTGGGACTGAAAAACCCGATACTGATCCCCACTCACAGCTCAGAAAGGGTGAGGAGGAGGTTGCTGTTTAGGCAGGGGCTTGGTTGAAGTGGTTGGGATAAATTTTGGGTATCCATTCGCACAGCTTGCGGCAGAGGGCACTGTCCCCTTACATATGTCACCTCTTCCCTTCACAGCAGAGAGAGGCTTTTAAGAAGCGCTGGTTCACACTGGATCACCGCAGGCTCATGTACTTCAAGGACCCTTTGGTGAGGGGGAGATCTGACCTCTGGCAGCTGCAGGCAACAGTGCTGAGGGCCGGGTCACATTGCAACCAGAGCCTTTGCTCTGCACTAAGGGAGGCTTGCAGGTTGCCTCGCTGCTCTGAATGGACTCTGGGTCTTCCCCTTTCATCCCACTTAGTTCATCCCATGCTTTCTGTTTGTTTCACTGCCTGCAGACAATGAGAACAGGGAGGGCAGCGGTGTAAAGGTGGTGATGGGGAGGAGAATGACATGGGGGGTGACACAGAGAGACAGGAGCAACAGTTCCTATCGCAGACCTCTTGATATCTACGCTCTTAAACTTTCCTTTCCGCTGCTGGCTTTGAGCATAGCCTCCCTGCTCTTCTGAATCTCCTGACCGCCTTCAAATCTTGTTGCTGCTACATCCCTGGTCCTCTTCCTGTCCTTAGGTGCACTGCTATTATTCCCCGGTTCTTCTGGGATTCCGTAAATCCTTCTGGGATTCCGTAAATCCTTCTCTTTCCTTCCTGATGTGCAGGATGCGTTTGCTAAGGGTGAGGTATTTGTGGGCAGCAGAGAGAATGGCTATAGCGTCCAGAAGGGATTGCCTTCAGGGACACAGGGCAACTTCTCTTGGCACTATGGCCTCACCATTGTCACCCCCGACCGGGAATACCTCTTCACCTGCGAGACAGAGACTGACCAGCTGAACTGGATCGCAGCCTTCACTAGTGTCATCAACCAGGCCATGACACCACAGGAATATGCAAGTAAGTGCCTGGATGCTGTTTCCCTCCCCTCATGCCACTCAAGTTCAGGGTATTGCCCTAATGCACCACCTTTTTCCTTCACTACAGTTGAAGCCTACTTCAAGTTTAAATCCTAGGAAGCCATGTGGGAACCTCGCTATGACTCGTTTCTACCTGGTCCTGTTGGTTGGGCTGTCAGGAGAGGAGAGGAGATGGACATCAGAGAAACACAGTGCTCCTGAAGCACGCTTTGAAGCACTTTTTTCCCCCATAGACGGTTCACTGTTCCAGGAGCCAAATTAAGCTGCTTCCTTTCAAGTGCAAGACTTTGTGAGTCTGAATCCTCAGTGCAACCTGTCACTTCAGTTGCTGCAATCTGACTGGATGCTGGCGGGCCTTGCCTGTCAATTGAACCTTGAAAACTTGGCCTTCAAAACTTGGCACTTACTGTGTTGGACATGGGACCTAGCATCATGCCTGCATAAAACTGCAGACAGCCACCTGCCTTACACAAGAACACAGCTGCCTGGCTGCAGCTGCACCTGAGTGGGTTGCAGGGGCTTCTGGACTAGAAGACTGTTCCTTTACAAGAAACGGTTTCTCTGCTGGTGACAGAGATGTGAAACATCTAGATATTTGATCAGTTGGAGCTGTAGCTGAGAAAGGTCACTTAAAAGATGTAATCTGACAGCCAAATTTGAGGCCTATTTCTTCCTGCCATGTATGGGTTTGAAAGCTTCTTCAGACCACATTTGTGTAGAGACCTTCCTCTGATTTCGACAGAGAAGATTAAGTGATCAGCTCAAAACTAATGTGTGTGTATACATGCGTGTATGTGGATAATGCGGGTGTGGGTGCACGCACACATAACAAAAAGTGGTGGGAGGTGGAACACTGCCCTAGGGAAGATACCATGAGGGACATTCATGCCATTGAAATTCAGCTGTCAAATTTGAGTCTCTATTCAAACCAGCGGAGAGAGGTTGGGTCCTGCAGAGAGTAGCTTATGGCGTGTCTGATACAGGGTTCAGACTCTCTGTTGTCTTTACTAGAGCCTAGGGGTCGATGTCTGAAGATAGTAATACGTGGATCTCTGCTCCTTCATTCTCTGTATGTCAAAGGCCTGACACTTTCATTCTGCCCTATACATTACATATGTATGTATTGCATATCACATATACATACAATTTTATGCAGTAGTATAACAGGGAAGTCTGTATGTTCATGTCCTTCTAGTAACAGTTAGCCCTAACCACTAAATCAACCCACGATTCATGTGTTAAAAGGTCATCTCTTAAAGCTCTCCTGGGAGAGCTGTGTTTCACATACGGAAAGGACCAGCTGAGTTCTGCTGATGGCTGTAGTATCTGATGTGTCTGCAGTTTTATGTGGGCAGTATGAGAGTAGTCATCTCATGTGTTAAGGGGAGCTAACTGGAATTAATGAGGCAACCAGTATTTTACTTAGCTCCTAAACTAATAAAAAAACCCCGTTGTAATTTATTTTAACTTCCTAAATGAGCCAAGCTGCTAACTGCTAAGGCATGAGGTAATTTTTTGGAAAAAAAGCACAGAAATTCAGAGCAAGGAGCCATGGCTGTTCACTGCATTTCCCGGGGCACATGGACTGTGAATCTTCCCATCAGAGCCAAGTGGGCAAAGTCAAGGTCCCCCTCTCCTCTGGGGACACCTCTCTGTGCTGAGACCACCACAACCAGTTGGGAGCATCAGCTTCTTAGATGAGAAGCAGCATCCCTCATCCTGCTGCCATAGCACAAGGGAACATTCTGCCCAAAAGTAGATTTTAACTGCAGTTTGCTGATGTCTCCCACTTAGGAGCATGACTGTCCTAAAAACCAAAAGCCATTGCAAAACTTGTGTTCCAAAATGAAGCGCCTTTCTGTTTTGATAACATGAAAATGGGGCAGTCTGTTAAATAAAAGCTCAAGCCCCATCTAAACAATCTGCACATTCAGTTCTGCTCTGGGAAGAGCAGTAGAGAGAGTGACCCAGTCATGCCAAGAGCTGACAGAGATAACCCAGGCGGAGGCCTCTCAAGTTGCCTCCATCAATGCCCTGTGTGCTATACGCCCACTCCTGGGGCATGCTCATGCTGAAGGCATGCAGCACATTGCCCCAGAAGATGGTTAGATCCTACTGCAGTGAGGGCACTACCAATGGGATGCTTCCTTCTCCTGTTTGCTGCTGAGTTATTGCTGCTGGAAATCAGTTTGGCTTGGCCGCAACGAAGCTAACACACTGACGATGCAAAAGAGCATGGCTGGAGTGGCCTGAAAACCCCTGTGAACTAACAGCAGAGCACATTTAGCAATGGCGCATCTGCCTCTGCTCTGCAAGTTCTGTCCCACTGTGTCTGTTCCCTGAGACGAATGAGGCTGAGATGCGGGCAAAGAAAGAGCAGGGTAGTGTCAGGTGCAGAAGTGTGAGGGTATGGATGTCATGCAGTGATGCCCCACTAGAAGGCAATGGTGCCTACCTAACAGGCTTCTGCTCCCTGTTTGGAGGTGAGGCAGCAGGTCCTGGATGTTCGAGAGAGGGAAGGAGAAAGCTTAGAGAAGGAGCATGGTCTTTGGAGAGAGAGAGGAAAGA